TTGCGGAAATGGTAGTTGTAGCAACAAATGCTCTGGATGTTTTATGTTATCCACCACATGATGATGTTTCAAGTTTAGCACCATGTTCACATGAAGAGGCTGACACTAGAATCATGGTGCATGTGTCTGATGCAGTGAAACACGGACTTAAACGAGTCATGATTCGAACAGTCGATACTGATGTTGCTGTCATTGCTGTTTCGCTATTCCGTGAAATTGGGGCAGACGAACTATGGCTTGCGTTTGGGAGTGGCAAAAGCTTCAGATACATATCTATTCATGACCTTTCAAATGCACTAGGCATTAAGATTTCACACACACTTCCTGTGTTCCATGCCTTTACCGGTTGTGATACCGTATCTTCGTTTGCTGGAAAAGGAAGAAAAACTGCGTGGGAGACATGGACGGCATTTGAAGATGTGACTTTAGCATTCAGCATAATGATTGATCAGTTTACATCACCAGATATGGATTTAATAATGGCATTGATAGAACGATACGTGGTGTTAATGTACGATGGAACAAACACATCAGATGGGGTTAATGAAGCAAGAAAACAACTGTTTGCGCAAAAGGGAAGACTAATTGAGGCTATTCCGCCGACTCGGTCTAGTCTTTTCCAGCATGTAAAACGTGCAATATAACAAGGCGGGTGTGTATGGAGAACGAACTTGGAATTGGTTCCATTGCTTCTTAGTCCAGGCGCTTATGGATGGCAAAGGGACAAATATGATCAATGGGAACCCTTTTGGACAACTCTTTCTGAGGCAGTCGTTGTAAATGTGGAAAATCAGGTCTCCCGTGCACTGCTTTATGTGCTTGTTGTGGTGATTGCGAATAGACATGTGTTGCGGCCATATATTAGTAATTTTAAAGATGTTTTAGTACTTTAGTGACTTTATTCTTTTTTAATCAATCTATCCAAAACTGTACATTGAGGATACAGAATGAGTTTTCAAATCTCCGCCATATTGTTTTTTATTGTATTAAAACATTTTAGACATAATAGTGAATTATTGGTTTGAGGATAACTTAAAGTCAAAAGTTTAATGACCGGCACAAAAAACACTTCTTTAACATTTTGAAAAAAGAGGAATATTAAAATTAAAAATTGATATTTTTATGTCCGCCATATTGTGTATAACCGGAAGTTGTGATTTTAAAGACAAATGACCTATACATTGTATCCATGAGAAGTACCAAAGAAAGGTTCCTGTACAATATGATGATAGTAGCAGTACATTCAAACACATTTGAATTACCCTCCCAAATAAATACGCTTACTTTAGTACAATGTCCGCCATATTCGATTTTACCGGAAGTAGGGTTTCAAAGACTTATAATCTTCAAATATATCCAAAAGTAGAACATAACAAAGGTTCGTGCCGAATATAATGATAGTAGCATGATTATAACACCTTTTCACATACCAGCCTTCGATATTGGACTGATTTAAGTATACTGTCCGCCATTTTGAATTTTACCAGAAGTGAGACATTTTTTTCAAATGCCTCCCTATCTCAAATCAAATATTAATATTAGAGGAAGCTTTGTGACAAGTTTCATGCTTGTAGCAGGATGTGCACAATTTTTCATGAAGCCGCCGTACTAAAAGTGTCAATTGATATGAAAATGCCGTCCGATTGAGAAGAATGTAGGTTATTGCTGAGAAGTGTAAACACACCGTTTTCGACTTACCCGGAGATGTTATACATTAAAATTGGAAAGTAATTCATCAATAAACAGGTAATTGTCTTCATTGAATTAAGTTTAGCAGAAGCAAAATTGATATTTATGTTTTAGGTTTTTCGCTGCTCTTTTCATTAAAAAATAATCCGATTGATTGTATTTTGTTTATAGTGAAACCTGTTTGAGGAGACCATTTAAGGAAAAGCAAATACGTGGTCTCATAAGACAGGTTCAGTCGATATGAAATGAACTATGAAAGGACCTAAAATTAACGATCTTATAACCATGTTTGATAACACAGGTTTTTGCTTAATACAGGTAGTCTCTTAAGCAAGTTGACTGTATTCCAAAAAAAAGGTGAAAGATACCAAAGGGACCTTCCAAACTCATAAGTCGTAAAAAAACTAACAACGTCATGGAAAAAGAAACCGAACAACGACGAAAAGACGAACACGTATATAAAACACACGAGGGAAAACCAAAGGCCGAGCATTACGAACGCAAAAAAAAAACGAAAATCATATTACATATATTTAATTTGTTGGTCCAACTAGTATATTAGTAACTTAATCAATCTAATAGTTGTAGCCCTACAAATTCCTTGGTTCCATATATTTCATCAACATTACATTCCTGATTCAAGTTATTCACTGTTTTTATCCGTCAAGATCCTTTTGAAATTAAGGTAAAACTAAAATCAATCAATCAGACAATGAATTGTCAAGAAAATTGTTTTGTAATTAAAAAATAGGAATGAGGAATTTGAAAGATGTGTCAGTATCATACAATTTACTTGAATTCTGCTTGAAGTATATTTAATATATTTCTCTTTCTTGACCGTTGTTTTTAAAGATATTCAGAGATTCTACATTGTTTTTTCGAAGTATGTGTTCCTGTTGTGTAAATAATCGATAGGCATACATGTATAGATATATTAACAATTCAGTATTGTTGCGTGCTTATTATAATGCGTTTATCAAAATCAATGACTCCTTTAACTGATTTCATTCTCGGTTGGAATAAAATGATGTGTTCATGGCATTTATGCACCTAACAGCTATAGCAATGCGGTTATGTTTTTTTTTTATTTCATTTTATGTATACTCGTAGATCGTCTGTGATAATAATAATAAAAATATGTATCATTTAAAAGCGTTGTTACGAACAAAATAGTGATTAGCTTTGCATATTTTTATTCTGGTTTTGCATTGAATGCATCTCTTTTTATAGAATACAATTAATGTTTTTGTATTACTATATATTAAGACAACCATATTTTACCGGTGTTCAAATGTCATAGATCGACGAAAAAGACTGCGAAAACATGTTTCTAGTGAGTTTGAATACAGACATGTCGTATCGATCAACATATTTGTGATGGTGACCGTAAAACTTGAGAAGATCCGGTTTCAGTCGTTCTTCCACATAACCAACAGTCCGTAAAGTGTGAACATGCACGAGTGTAAATCATAATTTGACATGTAAACGCTGTCCGATTGGGAAGATGGTATGTCATAATGCTGTAAAGTATAAAGAGGCAGTGTTTCTACCTACCCAGTCAAGATATACAGTAAAACAGGAAAACATTTCACAAAAAGGCAGTCTATTTTTTTATTCAATTTAATTTCATCAGAGGCAAAATTGATAACTACAATGTATGTTGTAGGTTTTTTCCTTGCTCTATATATTTGTAAAGAGGATTGATTATATTTTATCCATCACAAAAGATACCAAGGAGACCATTATAGCAAAACACGAAAAACTACGTAAAAGTCCACCAAACACGCCAACGAAAACTAAAGATCGAGCAAAACCAATATAGGCTGAACAATCATTTGTTCCAGATATTTCATCAATGTTACATGAAAAATTAATGTCGAACATACCTAATACAAGTTATTCCAGACATATTTGGTTTACAGACGGAAATCCAATCATGCGGAATATTCACATCTACATCGTTGTGATAATAACGGCGCCGTTGGTACCATCTTTCTGTTCATCACAACAATCCTCTGAGTCCTCATGATAGACAGCTTTAATAAATTGCTAGGATCATTTTTTCATAATTTTCTCATGACACTGCTCTATTGTCAATGTTTACGGAAGCTAAGATTTTATTTACAATGGTACATTTTGAACACAACTCCTCTGTCAGCGCTCGCAGAAAGTTTTTAATACTTAATAGGGTTGTTGTCATCTCCAGAAGTTGGCCATACTAAAACATTATTGTCATTTGACATTTTTTGTGTTTGGTTACACGTTTAACACAAATACACCTTATGAACGCTACTCCTCTAAGATCGTTTACAAGACCATGTTTATACTTAGAAAAAGTGTTTGTCATCCTGTATAGTTGATCATACAAAAGAGTCATTTAATTGAAAATTTGTAGGGAGCAACGATGTTTTGACTATTTTCATACATTGTTATTTTCAATAACACATATTGAACAAAAATCATCCTATACAGTTTCCCTGAAACAACATTACACACTCAGACAAGAAATTCAAATAGAACAACCTCAGACTAGGATATACTTTACCGGAAGGCGATACAAGCTTAACCTAGTTTAAGCGAAATTGCATATTTGTATTGAATGGTGAATCATGCTACTTTAGAAACGCTCGCCTCTGGACGAATGGCAATAAATGTGATAGCATCTAAAATAATCTAATATAATACCGTAAAGCGGGTAATTTTCGCGGGGTGTTTAATTTCGCTTATTTTGGCGGATGAAAGAAAATCGCAAAAAATAAATTCCGCGAAAATTAATGCATATTTTTGTTACTCTCTAATAGCTAAAGCGTCGGTCGGTAGGTCAATAACGGTATATGTTATTTTTAACAACATAAACAAAAAGGGCATTGAACATACATGTATTTTATAAAATGACTGTCACGTGTGTATATCCTTATCAATTAGTGTCAAATAGATCATGAGTAGGGTACTCTATCAGGTAATTACCCTTATTAATAAGTGTCAAATTGCATAAGAGTTGTAAATCAGTCTTAATAATTTTTTAACCTAATTAGTGAGTACATCAAAGTTCCGTTCAAGATCAATGAATAAGACGTCATTTAGGTAAACAAATCAATTAACTTGCTTCTCAATTTTTCAATATTTTATATGCAACAATTTCAGTATCCGCCAAAATATTTAATTGGGATTTAAGAATCCACCAAAATAAAAACCGCCAAACTTTTTCGTATACTTTGTTGCTCCTAAATCGCGAAATTTTACACCCGCGAAAATAACCCGCTATACGGTACCTGTACTAAATATTTAGTCATGTACAATCTTATGTGGTGTTGAATTTATTAGATAACATTACTAAATAGACAAGTAAAATAATACATGATCTATAAATTGAAATGAGATACAATAATAAAAAATTCAAATATGATAAATATCTCCTTATTTAAAACCCTTCATAACAAAGCATACACTCAACTAGATGTCTGTTGTGACTAGAGTATTAACGATTGCCTTGATTTGAAATTATCTGTACTAGATGAACTATAATTTTGAAATGTATTATTTCATTACAAGGACAAAAACAAAAACAAAAATTCAGAGAATGAACTCCATATACCTCAAGGAACTGTTGAAAAAATAATACGTTGAATAGCAAAAACAGAAAACAAAAACCATTAGACAAACAACGGTACACAAAACACAACATAGAAAACTAAAAACTGAGCAACACGAACCCCACCAAAATCCGGGGGTGATGTCAGTTGCTCCGGAAGTTCTGCTCCACATGTGGCACCCGTCGAGTTGCTCATGTAAGTACACACCGGGTGATAAGTCTAATTTGGTAGGTCACATTCATGGAAAAGAGGACGGGATTGTAGTTACGACAATTGGAACATATCCGTCGTCATCTGTGGAACGGATATCCCATAACGGTCATCCTGTTAGTGATGACGTCCGTAAAATTTACGAAAGGATGATTTCAACTTCACCACTTAGAACTCTTGGTAGCGAAAATGAAGTTAAAGGACAATGCTAACTTCTTTTCTTTCTTCCTAAGAAGCTCCTTTATGAAATCAATATCATATGAATACAGATATATGTCGGCAAGAAGAGGAGCAAAGTGGGTTTCCATAGGAATGCCGATTGTTTGTTGAAAAAACAGGTCCTCCAAACGTAACAAACATGACAAATATGTTGTCAATAAAAAAATCAACAACTTGATAATGTCAGTTTCAGATAATTTTTTGTTTGAATCATAGTTATTTTTGTACAAAGTACAATTTTTCCCTCCCTAAGATATGATAATTGTGTTTACGTTTGTCATCCTTTTTTATGAAACAAAACAGGACCAGCTCTTTCAATTTGTCTTTTAGTTTGCAATGGGGAATACTTGTGTACAGTATAGAAAAGTCAAATGTTTTGATACTACATGTTATATTGCAAGATGAAAGAGTCTTTAAATGTATGTACTCTAAAAGATCTTTATTAAACAATAACTGTGAAACCCGGCTTTGATTTAGAAATAGGTCCCATGGAGCACTTACAAGTAATTTAGGTGACAAATATAGTGAAGGAAGATCCAGTTCTTAATCTTTGAAATTCTTTGAGTAAGACAAAAGACTGGTGGGCTCAAATTCTTAATAATGTGTTAACATTAACATGTCATCATTCTGATATCCATGTACTAATTAGCACTGGATTTAAAACACCATTTCATCCATCCATCAATCAGAGATTAACAATTAAGTACTTATTCTAAAAACAAGTGTTAGTCATATTTAAAAATAAATCATAGTGCTTTAGAAATAACAAAAATAATAATTTGCATGTCAGCTAGCTACTACACACCAAATTATTTTCATTATATTAACCCATTTCAAAGTGAAATCTACATGGTATATTACAGATTTATAATAAAACTTTTTCAGTATAATATATTCATAGTTCGTCATTAGTAATTAATTTACTTAAGCTAATTTAAGTTAAATATTATCTATTAGATTCCTAAGCATGCCTTGTAATACGTAGTAGTTTTTCTAGTAATCATCAATAAATGTTTTACGTCATTTTATTGAATTAAAATACCTTTATTAAATGTAAGTAATGTTTTTTTTTGTCACTTTCACGTTTAGTTATTAACTTAGTTTCGAAATTATATCAGTTTGGTAATTTTAAGGAATTCCCTACGCATACTATGTAACACTTAGAGATAACAAGTAATTGTATGGAAACTAATAAGTAATATTTTTACTTGATATAGGTTCAGACAAATTACTAAGTAGTTTCTGTTTTAAAGTGTATTAATAGACTCTGTTTTGATGCAATTATTAGTTTTACAGTCTACCAGATTCTTCTGTATTATATATTTACATCAGACGACAAGAAATTAAAATTGTTCTTGCAAACGTGGATCTGTTTCTTCTTCGTAGCTAGCATCAAACCTGAAAAAAGTCACAACAAATTTGTAAAAATCAGAACCTTCACCTTAAATCGTAAACTAGAGGATTTATTTCTCCATTGGAGATAACTAATTGGTCCAATAAAGTGAAAACGAATTTGCATTCGATATGCATTCTCCTTTATTCAGACTATAAAAAGCTTGTATTGTTGATAGGTAATTGAATAAAAATGACAAATGTTTCAAAGTCTGCATATTCAATGGACAAAACTATAAACTTTGTTTTAGTTTATTTAAAAAAAAATTTAAAATGGTAACAGAAAATAAGAAAACTGAAAATACCCGTCTTTTGCAGCCTCCATGTTTTCTGCATGATGTCTTCTTAGACGAGATAAAGAATTAAGATAACTGCAAACAGCATCTTTTTCAAGAATAGCTAATTTTTCATTTGCTTCAACACTCCTCTTCTCTTCTGTAATGATATACACACGAATTGTAGCGGTATTTTTTCAATGTTGTTTTGAAAATTGAAGTTTCATTTCATTTCTTCCAATGTTACTGAATAATAACATAAAACAAAAACAAAAAACAACATGAAAATAGTGGAATTTTGTAACGCTAAAAGGTAAAATAGGTGAAATCTTGCATGTATCCATGTTCTAGTTCGAAGTTTAAACCCTAGTCAATGGATGTCTTATATTATATCTTAATGTTGTTGTTAAATATTGCAAACTTATTTTTGTTTATTGACATCAAACTTGTCGATTGTTAGATTACTGTCCTATCTTTTAGAACCCACATCGTAGTTTTTTTAGGACTAGATATATGTAAGATTTGAAATGGTCTACCAAACACCAAACACGTTATTTCTGTGTTTTTTTTTCTCAGAATATTTTACAAGTCAGGTAAGCCAAAAAAGGTTTTATGCTTGTTTGGATATGATTTTAACTACAGGGTGTAAGGTTTTGCTATTTTACTATTCACCCAAGAAATTGTTTGATCGGTTTTTGTAAAGTAAGAAAGTTATCCATTTTTGTATACGTCTCTCCACGTGTTTCGGTATTCTTGTACCCTTGGCTTTTAAACATTTGGCTTTGAGCGTTACTTGTGAAAACAATTTTAAGAATGTTTAACAAACCTATTTTTCACCATAAAGGATTGCAAATTTTAACAAAGAAATAATATTTATGCATATTTACATATTATACACAACAATCGTGAAAAATTTCAACGGCTGACAACATATAATAATGAGGAATACAACTTGTTTAAACTATTGTTTTGTAATCATTTATAGGTATACACTTATTTTTGAATTAGGTAACACCAATAGCGACGTTCCCGACTGGAGACATGATAATGAATATGTCTTTGGATTGCACGAGATTTGAATATCTCAATTTTTCGCACCCTCAAACCTCACCGCACCATTTGACCAATACAGTGTATATATAAAAAAAAAATTCATTTAAAACAAAACTTGGTGATGATTATCGGCCGGTTATTGTTTCATTTTAATTTATCTACATCGGTTATCACAACTCATTGTAGACTCACTTAGGACAACTTAGAGATTGACATATGTTAAATATATTAATCATTTATTGAAGACCATGTTTACTATTAATGTCTTTTATTTGTTCGTGTCATTGCTCATTGACGTATACCCTATATCCGACTTATTTGTATTTAATAATTAAATACTTACTAAACTTGTTATGTGTTTTATGTTTACATGTATTAAAGATATAAATAACGGCCCTCTTAACGTAACTGGTGAAAAATAACCATGGTAACAACGACGATTTATCATAATACTCTTGAATGAGCGAAAATCTGTAGAATTTCCAAACCAGATCGTTGTTCTCTTGTTTTTTTTTCAAAAGTATGCCTAAGATTTAATAAAATCATAATGTAAATAGAATAATTCTATTCGAATATCATTTTGAATTGCATTGCTTATTGACATTTTGGCGAACAATTCATTTCTATATATACGCTAAATAATAAAAAATCGACTTTCTTTTACCAAAAAAAACTATTTTAACTAATTGTTTCATTTTCAACACAAAAACTGTTAAAATGAGCATTTCAAGCAACTCAAAAATAAATGTGTACTAAAATGAAAAGTGGTGCCAATAACTATTTAAAGTGAAGTTGCAATAAACAAAATCATGTAAAATAAAAACATGCATAGAATGGTCAATGGGAAATCAACAAAAAGACGAACAAAAATAACAAAACTTTATACCAAAAAAACAGGTTCAGCACAACATGAACCCCATCGTAAACCAGAAGTAGCCAAGGTGCACTGATATTACCTTTCGTGTTACTCATTGCAAGTGAAAATGCTGTAATGTCACAATCGAGATATTAAGGACGGGATTGTGGTAACACAGATATTCGACAACACGACCTCTAGAGGTGAAAAACATCTTGTCAGAAAAAAATCCATCATCTTGATCTTGCCAATTTCGATTAACTTTGTGGTTGATAAACACGTTCATTTTTACATAGTTTGATATGTTCGAGAAAGAATACTTCAATGATAAATCTTTGACAGTGGAAATTTCAGACATTTTTTTTGCCAAATCTTACGAGAAATATTCTAATTACCCAGGTACATTGTACTAGCTGACAATGCTGTGAGATTGGTGAATTAAACGTTGCACAGTTAAAAGTGTTCAGACATCTTATTTACCAGTTCAGTAACTGTTTCAGCCATTCACTAGTTTTATTAATTTTACAACATCCATTTATAAATGAACGTTATTTAATGTTATTCAGGGTTATACCTGGTCTATATACCAGCTTTGATAAGTGTTTGGTATTACTATAAATTTTCACTTCGTACTATGAACATCAAAATTATTTATTTTGTAAAAATATTTCCTTTCTCTATTGGAACTGTACACGTATACCTAACAACAAAATTATTTTCATTTACCTGTGTTTGCAAATGATTGCAAATGGCTGATATTTTTGTTCGAGCATATTGTTTTTCTTAAATTGTTTAACATTTAAACCCGATACAACATGTTACTTTTATTATTCTTCCCTTAGTTTATTTATTTTGTATTTGCATTGTATCATAGGTCAAATTTATTTGTTTATTGTATGTTCATTGGTGTTAATATGTCCTTTGATTGAGTTAAGCTATTTCAGTTGATATCATATAGTGTGTTTTTCTATGTTGTGATGTTACACTATTGTTTCAGAAAAAGGGTGAAGGTTTGGTACCATTAAACGTTTTGTTTCAGAAAAAGGGTGAAGATTTGGTACCATTAAAACGTTTAAACCCGCTGCATTTATTTGCACCTGTCCTAAGTCAGGAATCTGATGTTCAGTAGTTGTCGTTTGTTGATGTGGTTCATAAGTGTTTCTCGTTTCTCGTTTTTTTTATATAGATTAGACCGTTGGTTTTCCCGTTTGAATGGTTTTACACTAGTAATTTTTGGGGCCCTTTATAGCTTACTGTTCGGTGTGAGCCAAGGCTCCGTGTTGAAGACCGTACTTTGACCTATAATGGTTTACTTTTTTAAATTTTGACTTGGATGGAGAGTTGTCTCATTGGCACTCATACCACATCTTTTTATATCTATGAACAGTTCATAATTTATGGCAAGAAAAGTGTCCGAACAGTCAAAGAGTGAACAAACTGTACATGTGACTTAAAGGAGAAAAACATGTGTTGTGTAGTAAAACTAAAGGTACCATTTGCTCTATCCTGCATGACCTTAATAACTGTAAATTCAGAAGTGACTGCAATTAATTTATGCAAATAATGTTACTGGGTAAGTCTCAATAATAGAATTTTATTTTAGGAACTTCGACATACTTTCTTTTTCATCTTCTGAATATATTGTTATAATGGCACGACTTTCACTTTAACGAAGCTAAGTATAACATAAAATAAATCGAAACATACTAAAGTTGGTGTTTAACAACTGTTTCCCCCTTTTCACATGTTTTCCTTCAGTAAGTTAAATTCAGCAAACGAATTAAAATATAACCTGAATCAGGCTTTGTTCGTCACTTCACTCCGTTGCTTGATATATTTTGAGAACTCAGTAAGGGTCGAAAAGGGGAGACTAGACTGAGTTAAATAGTTCATGTTTATTTAACAATGACATATTGAATACCTGACGACGAATCAACAGTAGTAGCCAATCAAATATTTCAACTTTGAGTTTCGAAGGTCTTGTTTCAGAGAGTACTAAAAAAGACAACAGGTCACTTCGTTTTTACATTTTGTGTTGATATTAGTCTCGGGATCTATAAAATGCGTTCAATTTTGCAACAGACTTTAAAGCTTCTTCCTTGTCTGTTTGTGGTCATTCATCAAATGCAGATTGCTATTGGTTTTTCATGGCCAACAACCAACAGTTCTAATTGCTCAGAACTTGTGAATATCTTCAAAATCAAATTCCTTATATTAAAAAGTCTTGCTTATCAATAAACTACACGTCTAGTAAATATTTCATAACCCTGGGTGCATAATAGTCAAGTTTGCTAGAATCTAGAGGATGAACATCTTCTTGCAAATCAACTTCTGACACTGAGAGGTTATTCGGTAATGAAAACTATCCCGGTCTTCAGTACAGAAGAGAATTGTCTAATATTTGACAGTCTTTATTCTTATATAATACGTGATTGATTAGTTGTCATATGTGGCTAATCTTTATGATTTTAGTAATATGATGGTAGATTTTAGCCTAGCTTCTGTTGTTTTAAATCGTTTGTGTTATTTCAGATCAACTCAAATTGTCATGTGTGCATGCGTAGGGACTTTACTTGTTACAAGGACTGGCGATGGCACTTGGACATTGCTTGACCAGAAACACTTTGAACAAAACTCATTTATTGTTCACACTATATAATATGCTCTCAGCGATTTGAATCCATGAAGAAAGTATAACTTAGATTTGTAAGTCTGAGATTTTTGTTTTTAAGACTGAGTCCTTGTAATTGTGCCGCATTCAAGCTCTGAAGCTTGCCTGGATACGGTGCTTACTAATAGCAACTTGAGTTTTTTTTTCCTTAGTAAAGGTCATTTGTTTATACAGATGTCTCTGCGTCCATAAGTCAGTTTGTGTGTTTCCTGTGTGTCTGTTACATTTCCTATATTTCGCTAGACGAGTAGCTTACTAGTCTTTTGGTTATCATTTTCTTTTTGATTGAAAAGTCAAAAAGATAAACGTTCATCTAATATAATACTAATTTTTGGTATGATTGCCGCTTCTAGCCAAGCCCGTAACGCTTTGTATTGTATACAGCAGGTTTTTTTTCTAGACAAAACACGAAAACTGAAGCTTTTCATTTCATTGGAAGGATACCGTTTTCGAGTATTGAATTGTCCATTGAATCTATTAAACCATATTATATAATTTCAGGAGCTGATATCATTCTCAATCTTTACCATGTTTACTAGGAAAATATTACCTTAGTTTTAAAAACATATGTATTTGTTTAATGCGCACAACAAATAAACCGGTTACAAACCAATTTTATTGGTGGATAAAAAAAGGTCGGTCTCCTAACAAACGGGATGGTGGGTGCAGACTGTTTTTCGTAAAAGGGAAAGTTATTTCAAGGGAGGAAGGTGATTGCAAACACTTAGAATTAAAACAAATTATCTAAGTCATTAATTGTACTTACGAAAACATAGCAATGAGAATATTTACAAGAATTATATGCGTTAACACCATGTAAACAGCCAATAGAGAAATATTCATGTCGTTAATCTCTGGACATCTTGGAATAGTCCCATTACTGTATAGTGCTTCATCTTTTGTACAAGGGTCTGGCTCCTTTCCTTAACATATATAAAATTAACATTGAAGCAGGATACTAGGCGACTTTATTTCTATACTATAAAAATATATTACACATTTTGTCGTTGGTGAATCTGTTATTTGTATAATTAGTTGGATGATTGCGAAATAGTTATTTGTGTTGGTTGAAGTTGATTTATTTTTGCATTCTAATGTTATTTTATCTCGACCTGTGAGCGAAAATGTAAAGGGCAAAACTGTGTTACACATTAAAAGAAAAAAATATCAAATTATATAGTATAGAGTATCGGAATAACAGAAAAAAAAACCAAAGCTGCAAATTATAAATAACGCGTTTAATAATCAATAACTCAAGGAACATTGTATTTGATCATGCATTTGTATATAATTCAACGAACTTAAAAAACACGTATTAGAATACCAGCGAATGATAACTCCCATTCTTTATCAGAATTAGTTTAATTTCCCATGAAGGGACATAATAACATTCTACAAAAGGAAAAACAAATTGTATTGCCTAATATCATGACCGGTAATGAGTCAAATATTGTACAAGTTAAAAAATGTAAATTTGTCGAAACAGTCACTTATTTTCATGAAGATCGTACGACTGTAAAATTCTTGTCGTTTTTTTTTTTCGTTTATTTTGAAATAATAATGAAGAAACAGTAACAGTTTTATTTCTCTCACTGTAGTTCTCACATACTTTTAGAAGAAACCAAACAGTAATACGCAACCTATTCATAGTTAGACTGACATTAAAGAAAGTGTTAATTGACACTTACATTTCAAGTTTAATATACATTATTGTATTTTGTTTTTGAGTATAATCAAAACATACCTAACTATTCAATATCTATATAAAGAAGAACAAAATTCTGAAAGCATGGATATTACTTTAATTTTAGGAAATTAGTTCATATGTCTTGCGTTCTAGGAAAACATTATCCGGTTTCAAAAGCAAAATTTAGATGTACATGTTACATATCACATTACAAAAGTTTTGTATCATAATTATATAATGAAAATGATATGCATCGACTGATATCTTGATTTAATGTTATTCTGTAATTATTAACTATGACTGTAAATCTTACTTACCAGTGATATGATCTAGGAACAATTCTCCATACAACTGCCAATATGGCATGTGTATGATATTATTAAAAAGCGGGAACCCTGATATGGAATTTGGGAACATAGTTGCTTGCTGAATGACTCCGAATCCAAACACAAACACAACAAATATCAAGATAAAGAAAAGGAGGTCGATCATCTACAAAGACATTATTCAAGTATGTATAAAACTGCACTGAAACCGTTCTATTTTACCGTCTGATAGTAAAACGTTTATCTCATTAAATGCAATTTCTGCCTTTAATTATTTTAAAGGAGTGTATGATAACGACCAAATCTCTAAAAGGTCTTCAAAATAAAAAAATAGAACGAAGCTTTGTGGAATTCTTGTAAAGGAAGCGTGGATACAGGATTTATACTTGATCAAATCGAAATATTAACTGGTTAACAAATGATGATTTAACAATACATTTATATTGAAACGTAATTGACTTTCAAAGGTTACCACATAAAAGTTACTTGACAATTCTCTTGCAGTCTGTACTGGCCGGACTTGTAGGTATAACCAAATGACTTAATCGCAATCTCGGCGAATATATAAAGAAAACAACTTGTTTGGAAAATTGTAATTATGATATTCCACCAGAAAGGTGACAGTAGTCATTGTACTGTTAAACTGCAATACAACAAAAAGCAATACTCACAATGTGTAAGAATCGAACATATTAATTAAAATGCAAATATTATATAAATCAATCAAATGAAAACGAAAGTAGAATTTACAGTTCAAATCTCGGATATACATAACTTACAGTTCGTATGCATTTAATAAATTACTTTTCCAAATTAACGGATTAAAACAGATTTAATTATCACAGTTTATAAATGAATAAATCGTACTTGACAGTGATATGTCTCGATTTCCCCAGAAAATTAAATGTCGTCCATGTAACATGTGTTGAAATACTGGAGCAGACGGTGTCACAGAAATTAAAGGCAGTCCCGTTGTACAATAAATACGGTGATGTAAGAAATCGGTCCAGTGCGATTTGTTCCGGATTATTATGAAAACATATAATAAACATTGAATGTGAAACAGAATACTCCCCGTCTGATGTCTAACTGATATCACTATTCCAAATATAAAACACACTTTTTTATCTCACTATATAAATGCATAGTATCAATACAAACACAAAATTATATGCAGTATAAGAAGAATCATGTCCACGATTAGTCGTGTGTAGATGGTGGCTTTTCAATTTACGATGATTCGTACTTCTGCTTTCCGGACATGTTCGTTCAAACTTTTTAATGAGTTTACTATAACTCCTACGGGCCATTGAGTACGGCAAAGTTGTTTGTCCTTTAAAAGATTGACGTCTCCTTCGATGAGATCACGGCGATCTTCGGTCCATTTTCGTCGTGGTTGTAGCAGCGGCAGGTACTCTTTCCTCCAACGGGACCAGAAAACACTGGCCAGAGCATGTGCACGTCTCCATTCGGCTAAACATAGATCCCGTTTGTCGAATTTTCCAAGCTGATCTGAATTGGAGATGTAATCAGTCTTATGTGTCAATAACATAGCTTGAGTTAAGATTAACGGATTCTCTGGATCTGTCGATACCGGTACCAGAGGTCTAGAGTTCACGATTGCTGAAACTTCTGCCATTAACGCGTTGAGCAAGTAATGTGTTAGGATCCTTCCGGCGGCATTCAAAAGCATAGAATAAAGTATTCTCCTGACGATACCAATTATTCTCTTCCAGGCTCCACCCATGTGGGACGAATGCGGCGGATTGAAGATCCAAGTTGTACCGAAATTGTACAGAAAGTTCTTGAAGGATCCATCGTTGATTGAGTCAATTTTTTCAAGTCATCGATTGCACCAATAAAGTTTGTTCCACGGTCGGATCGGAAGATCTTAACTTGGCCTCTAATGGCTGTTAATCTTCTGACAGCGTTTATAAAGGCTGAAGAGCCCATTTCATCGATGAGTTCGATGTTAACCGCTCTTGTCACTAAGCAAGTGAATAAAATTGCCCAACGTTTGCAATTGGCATTTCCACCACGGGTTTTACGTGAACAATTGTCCATGGTCTAAAGGTGCCGATTCCAACGTTAAACAACGGAGGTGACGGTTCAAGACGGTCCTCTGGCAAATCAGACATAATTCGACACTCGGTTTTTCCTCTTAGTTTGCGACATGTCACTCATCTATGAATAATAGACGAAATTAGGCGTTTCGCTCCAATGATCCAGAATCCTGCGGATCTAATAGCTCCATCTGTGAAGTGGCGACCTCGATGTTTAATCTTGTTGTGGTAGTGTCGGACTAACAGTGTTGCTATATGATGGCGTCCAAGAACGATCAATGGTTTTTTTCACGGAGGTCCAAGTCAGATTTGACGATACGGCCACCCACTCGTAATAGTCCTCGTTCGTCCAAAAACGGGTTGAGGTTAGCTATCGGGCTTCGCTTATGTATTTGTTCCTTGCGTCGAATGCTATCTATTTCTTCTCCGTAACCCTCGTATTGTGCAGACATCAATATGAAATTTTCGGCATTCGAAAAACATTCCAGAGAAGTCACTGATTCTGCCTGTTTTGACCCCTGTAAACGGGAGAAACGTTCCAAAAAGACTATCGCTCGTACAAGTGATGTCCAGTTGGAGAATCTGTTGAATCTATCAGTTCCGATACATTTACACTCAGGTGTGGCATATGTCTTTGCAACTTTAACAGTTGCACGATTTTCTCGATCTTCATCTCGATCGACGAGTTGATATTCGTCCTCGGAATTTTCTTTCTGTTTTAAGGAAAGCAGTTGTCTAGGTCCTAGTAGCCACTCACTACTATGAATTTCGTGGGCTGGTATGGATCTTGTCCCAGAATCTGCGGGATTACGGTCAGTTGGTACGTAGTTCCATTGACTTTGAGAGGTAAACTTTCTTATTCTTTCTACTCTATTAGCAACGTAGATAAAGAATCTTCTTGTGTCGTTATGGATGTAACCTAAGACTACTGTACTGTCTGTGTAGATTTTCACTGGCCTATATGCACATCTAAATTGCCCATGATATATTGTGCAATCTAAACTGCTAATACGGCAGCAAATAGTTCTAGTCGTGGAATGGTTTGACCACTTTTTGGAGCAACTTTTGTTTTACCCAGAATGAACTCAAGGTTGCGTTCAACACTATTGTCGGTCGTGCGAAGATATGCAACAGCTGCTATGGCTTTTTCGGATGCATCAGAGATGACATGCAGCTCCTTGGTGACCGTCTTGCTGAGATATGGCACGTAGGTACGTGGAATACGTAGGGTTTCAAAGGATCGTAGATGCTGTTTATCGTTGATAAAATTCCTCTCTGTGTTATCGGTTTATTTTCTGATGACAATTGAAATAGGAAGTTGTCAGTGTTCAAGTCCCAGCTTAGTCCAAGACTGCGTTGCAGGGGTTTGCTGTCAGCTTCTAAGTCAAGATCCTTAAGGTTGCAGGCCAAATCACTGGCTTGAAATGCAGACATAACTTCCGCATTGTTAGAGGCGAACTTGTGAAGCCTTAAGTTTCCATATTTTGTTAATGCTTGTTGGGTGTCCTTCACGAGTTTAATTGCTTCCTCTTTAGTAGGACATGACGTAAGACCATCGTCGACATAGAAATTTCTTGTCACAAAGTTAGTCACATGACTGCCAAACTCTTGTTTTTATGCTGTAGCTGCTTTTCTTAGTCCATGTGTAGCAACAGCTGGTGACGGAATATTTCCAAAAACATGAACCCTCATGCGGTATTCGACAAGGTTCTCGTTTAGGTAGTTGTTTTTATGCCATAGAAATCTTAGGTAGTTTCAATGGTCTTCTCTGACTACAAAACAGTGAAACATATTATGAACATCAGTAGTTACTGCAACCATTTCTTTCCGGAAACGTAATAGCACTTCTAAGAGATCATTGTTCAAGTCTGGGCCTGTCAGCAGGACACCGTTAAGTGAGACTCCGTTGCATTTGGCGGAAGAATCAAACACACCCCTGATCTGATCTGGTTTCTTAGTATGATAAACACCAAATAATGGTAAATACCAGCACTCTTCATGGTCGTTCAATGGTGAAACAAGCTCTGCATGATTGTTGTCCAGAATCTTGCTCATAAATGCAAGAAAGTGTTCTCTTTCTACGGGGTTCCTACTAAGACTGGCGTCTAACAGATTGGCAGGATGAAGAGCTTGTTGTCATTTGCTAGGTAATGGCTGTCTTTGCACTCGGAACGGTAACGGTGCAACCCAACGTCCGTTTGAGTTTCTCACAAATTCGTTGTTCAGCTACTTAATTATAAATTTGTCTTCATACAATGTTCCAGGCTAATCATCGTCCCTTGTTTTTTCAAAGAGTGTTGATTTAAAGTCCTTCGTTACAGGGTCTGTGTAATTTTCCCGGATGTCAAACTTGCTTGTACATGGTTAAAATGTTGATGGTTGTCCTGTAGATAAATTGTTTGTAATTTTTACGTTTAATTCAAGAGGCACGTGCTGCTTGTTAATGCACGTCTCTCCAATTACTACCCAACCCATTTCAACTGTTGTGCATATGGAGTTCTGGGTGGTCCTATGCGCTCGTCAAGGACGTGGTGTGCTTCTATTATGTCTCTTCCAATTAAGAGTAGTATTTGGAAATGTTCATCTATTGGTGGAATGTTTCCTTTTTCCATAAAATGAGGATGGTGCATTGTGACTTCAGGATTAGGAATTTCGTCCCTATTATTTGGAATGTGATCACATTCTATTAGTACAGGCAAGTCAAATTTTTCAATTCCACGTATTGAATCCATAACGAAACCTCTTCCTCTTTTCCCGGAAGCAACTTCTCTGCCGGCTCTGTGAAAGGCGGAAAGGCAACGTCGTGGTTCAATTTATCTAGATGCCCTTGTTATCCACTTTTCCTGAAGTCCATAGGGTAGTTTTTCAATGATAGTGTTAATACCAGACGGTGAGTCAAAATAAGCCAGCAGACATCCCAGCTTGGTATTTTCCTTGTGATATTCTATTTCTGATAGAATATCAGACAAGTCGGAAAGAATGCGTTGTCCTTGTTCGTCAAGGTAGGAAAGTTGACGAGTTTACTTGTAAGAGAGGCCTCCAACATTTCCGGAGCACCATATTGCTCGTCCAGTCTCTGCCATAACCTCTGCAGGCCTTTTGTAGGGTTGCTGGTGTTTGATGCTCTTATGCTAATGGCATGTTTAGCCGACGTTGTCCAAAGCCACTTGATCAGTAGATCTATCTGTTCCGAGTCGGAAACTTGTAACTCGTCTGTAACGTGTTTGAAGCTTGCTTTCCATGTATGGACGGATTTTGCCCGGTCGTTAAAGCTTGTTAACCGGGAGAACAGCAGGTCCTTACGTAGGAGAAATCTTGTTATCTCCGATGTAGGATTGATTTGTTGCTGATGTGCAGCAAGGATCTCTTCTGAACCGCCTTGTTTTCGGTGTGCAACAAGGATCTCCTCTGAAACGCTTTGTTTTCGTAGATCTGGGAATAAAGTAAATTCTGGTGACTTAGTATCGGTAGGCAAGACAGCGCGTGTTTGTGATGGCAAATTCAATACCACGAACCATGATGCTTCATGGCTTAGCTCAATCTTAACAGGAGTTTGTTTTTTATCTTTTGAGGGCTTGTCACTTCTTGTACTACAGTTGGTTCAGGATGTTTATTGACGAAGTCTTGCACATGTTGGAGCGGGTCTTCAGTCTTATTAGGAAGTTCGCCTAACGCTTGGCTGTCGTCATACTCTAGGGTACGGGCCTCTGCTCCTGCTGCTGCAGCTTCACTCTGTGCTTCTAGAATGTTCATAGCAGCCTCAATTTCGGCTTTTTCCCGGATTGTACGTGCAGCCTCCTGTTCCATTATAGTTTTCCTGCGTACGGCCTCACGTTTCACTTCAGCTTTCAGGTGTGCGGTCTCCGCTTTTCTACTTGCGGCTTCCTGTTCTGCTCTGATGGCTTCTTGTTCCGCTTTTATGTCTCCTTGTGTCATTTCGGCCTTGATTTCATATTGTCTGAAAAGAGTGTTTTTCTATCATTGCCTCCTGCTTGAGTAGCAGGGCTTGTTTTTCAGCAAAGGCTATCTGAGATCTGGCAGCCTCTGCTTTGGCACGCTTCCTCCGTGCAAGGCTTGACATGTCTGAGACGTTCGAGCTTCCGCTGTGCAAGGTTTTCTTACTCTTAGATGTTTTTGTTTTGTGAATCTAGCCTTTTTCAGAGCGAGGCGATGCTCGTGCAGGGTTTCCATGGCCAGGTCCACTTTAGACAGTCGAATGTCTGATGAAAGATTACATGTGTCTATGTTCTTAAGACTTTCCAACGTTCTGGTCTTCTTCGGAAAGTTCAGGTACTCATCTATGCGCTTGCGATAATGAGTTCATGCTTGTACGATTTTGTCCTCTGCTGTTAGCAGTTGCTGGAGCTCGTTCGGAGGAGCGGTCACTTTCAATAACTGGAATTCTAAACCTGACCAAAGGGACTCTAGCTCCAGTCACGTTTCTCTGCGAATGCTTCGTGTCCATTTTCGATGAGCTCGCGCACACGCCTAGTCTCGGATTTTCATCTAGATGTGTGGTATTAGACGGATGTTCTACTAGTTCTTCAGAGACATTTCCTTCTGAAGGCTGAACCTCGTCTTGCTGTTCCGCGTGACTTGGATCCATGGTGGCTCAACGTTTTTTGTTTGCTGTCAACACACCAGCTGTGTTGCGTTGTGTCAAGGTAACAGCTACGAACGATGTTCCGTTGATTTTCTTGGTCAGGATATGTGTAGACAAGTTAATGTCTTTTTAATGTACTGGCCGCACCAGTAGGTATAACCAAATGACTGAATCGCAATCTCGGCGAATATATAAAGAAAACAACTTGTTTGGAAAATTGTAATTATGATATTCCACCAGAAAGGTGACAGTAGTCAGTGTACTGTTAAACTGCAATACAACAAAAGGCTATACTTACAATGTGTAAGAATCGAACATATTAAGTTGAAATACAAATATTATATAAATCAATCAAATGAGAACGAAAGTAGAATTTACAGTTCAAATCTCGGATATACATAACTTACAGTTCGTATGCATTTAATAAATTACTTTTCCAAATAAACGGAGTAAAACAGATTTAATTATCACAGTTTATAAATGAATAAAACGTACTTGACAGTGTTATGTCTCGATTTCACCAGAAAATTAAATGTCCATGTAACATGTGTTGAAATACTGGAGCAGACGGTGTCTCAGATATTAAAGGCAGTCACGTAGTACAATAAATGCGGTGATATAAGAAATCGGTCCAGTGCGATTTGTTCCGGATAATTATGAAAACATATAATAAACATTGAATGTGAAAAAGAATACAGTCTGTTAAGTACTCGCAAATAGTTTTTTTCAGAAAATTCAGTATGATGTTGATGTTTACAGGTAATTTGCAACTACCAACATATGTGAAAAGTCTAAACATAGTCTGAACAGATCGTAATTGAATGCAAGCGAATTGTCATAACAATACTGAAATTAATAATTTTATGTTCAGTCATTTAAGAGCTGTTTGAATCAGAATATTTCTTCAGATCAACATTAGTTATATATTAAATGCTGTCGTATGGCGAACATTCTCAATGATATCATTAACCTAGTGAGTTTGTGAAAGTTGTCTTAGTATGCGGAGATTAATTTATCTAAGTATTTATAAACGGCGACAATATGTTATCTGAACTTACCAATTTCCCAATCATGATAACTTTGGGTCCAATGTGTTTCCAAACAAGGAAAAACTTCATACTGTTGATAATAAATAATCCTAATGTTACTGCATACGCCATTCGTGCAAAATAAAAGTCCTCAGCTGGCAAGGTTAATCGAAGACAGATAGAGCTTATCAACATTAGGAACTTCAAACATTCAAACAGTGCCCAAAAATTCTTCACTCGCTTGATTTCAAAAATCTGAAAGTTTACATGTGTTATTAAATAATTAAAGAGAGTTGTTGGGTATATGTCAATTGGAACGCAACCGAACAACAAAATAATACTTAAATATGAATGCAGGTTCTTCAACAATAGGCAGGTGTCACACAATATATCAGGCACTATCTCGCCTTGAATTGAAGAATATGAAAAGATGTAAGAAACAAAACTAAGCAACAAAGATAGAGTACAACAACATGAAACAAACAACGGAGGACACTCAGAATACAACTTAAAATGTGTATTTCCTCACAATTGTTTCCGGAATACTTTTCCTACGAGTTTAAACCATCCCTCTGGTATCGTTGTCTCAATTTTATAATTACAAATGTAACATCAAAATACTTAGTTAAAAGTACGGCAAGCAATAAGCATGAAACATTTGAGACCATCAAAACCAGAAAAGTACTTCACAGAAATAATTAAATCGTCAAAGAATAATTTTGGCCGAGGAATTTGCAGCACAGGAAGTAAAAAAAACTAATGATTCAAAAGAGTTTTGTTTAAATAAGTTCCATAGTTAAAAATATAGCTAAGTCGCAGATGAATGTCAATAATGACAGGTTAAGAATGCTAAACTTATATATTTGCGACTATATTGTATTTCCTTTATCATTTTACTATGTATCACAACCGTTACGGAACACTTTAGGAGAAGGAATTGCTACTCCGGTTTTTGTTGGTTTACTCTTGAAAAATGTTGGTTGTATGTGCAATGTATTTTTGAATGCTATTTGTTTGTTCGTCTTCTTGTCATGATGTTGTATGATTTTATTCGAATATCATTTTTTGATTGCCCATGCGGATCTTTTTGCCTTTATTCCTCAAACGAATCATTTAAAGATAGAATATATTTTATATAACTTACTAAAACTGAAGGTTGATTTGTTTGATTGTTCAATTAATAATTGGGCTTTGATAAATGAATAGAGTAGGAACTAGTAGAGTAGAACAAAAATAAAAGCAGAGTAGGGAAGAGAAGAGAAGAGAAGAATAGAGTAGAGTAGAGTAGAGTAGAGTACAATATAGTTACGGAGGATAGCTCATAGTAGAATAGATAATACTCTTCGTGCAATAGTATAACACTTTTGACTTATCTACTCTTTGCAAATGTGTTCTATTTTATCAACTTAAAGTAAAATGGCAGGAATTAATTCAACAATTCTTCAGACAAATGGCTGACGTAGATAGCTATAGATACCTTCTTTAAGAGAAACTTAAATCAATGTTTTATAAAACAAGTCTAAGCCACACAAAAAATGCATGCATCGTGTTTCTTATTACAGAAATAAATACAGTAAAACATCGCATTCAGTGATTTTATAAGTTTTACAAAAAAGAATAAGGGAGTACATGTAACTGTATTGAGGTGTAATACCACCTAAACATGGTACGTTACATCCAGTTTCTTACGAAAAAATGTGAAGAAAAAGATTTTTTTTTTTACACATTCCAATTTAACAAAGACAAAGGAAAATAATGGTGGTATTACTTCCTGATAATAAAAATTGATCATTTCCATTTTATCTGTAATGCAAATATTTATAAACGGTCAACCGAATTATGATGACCACCTTTCGAAGCAATGGCATCAAGTGAATGATTATCAATAATTTGTTAAATCTATCTTACACAAGATAATCCTCTATCTAGGAAATTTAAATAACTAACGGATGTTATGTAATACCCAAATGTAAAAATATAAATTGCTTACATTATCTCTAAATCTGCCATACCGTGAGACCAATCCTAATATTCTTCCTTGCCTTGCTTCATGTTTGCGACCAACTTATATATCGTAACATTGAGTCTATTAGATTGAGCGATGTTACAAATTAATGAGACACGTTTTTCAGGTAAAGACCCTCTATGTAATCATTATGAGTATGAATAGTTAATTTGTAGCTGGAGATTACAAAAAAAAAAGAACAAACAATCAATCTATCATGCTTCTTCAACTCTTTGGTCTGGTTGTTGTTTCTTTGACACTTTCCAATCACTTTCGACCTGACCATCACACAACATAAACAGCACTCAAGCCTTATTCTTCAATTCAAATCTATATTGTATTCGTAACATTACCTGTCGTATTTCCTCTGCCAATGATGATGCGGCCCAAACATAAACATTGTATTCCTTAATTGATGGGAATTTCTCAGACATGGGATATAAATCCGTCAGTACAAACAGGCTGAATACCACTAACATTGCCATGTACGTTAACTATTTGAAAAACAAATGAAATTTGTACATTACAGAAGCAGTTTTGTTCAATTTAACTAATGTGACTTTGAAAAATTTAAAGATGATTTAAACGTATTATACCGACGTACAATCATATGTTGTCACTTTAAAGGGTTTCGGCTCGTGCACATCTTTACTGTGCGTTAGTCCTGTTGCATTCGATTTTTATCGAATGTGAATAACTCTCAATTGTTCGAATTTTAATTCTCATAGCATACAAGTATCTTGGTATTTAAGAACTCAATGTCTTGTATAAATATTTATTTTAATATGGACCTCTCTTTGTTTGGTAGCGTATGGTTGATTTCAAATTAACTTTAATCTATAACTATCAAAAGATGTGAAAAAATTAGCCCTTATATGGAAAAATCAGGATGTGAAATACTGATGAAGTTGCCCTGTTGATAAAAACTTTTCGGTCAGGTCCAATACTGAAAAAGCCGTATGAGCTCACGTGCTAAAATGGGATGTTTACTTCCAGGTTAAATTTGTTTACGCCTCATCTTTTTTTGACGGTATCATTGAGATACAATTTTATCATATTGTGGTAACTTGAAATAACATTAAAAAAGTTTAACTGATGTTCGGTGTATTTTAAAGATTTGAAACGGAAATATTCCATAGTCTCTCCGAGTAAAATTTTTTTTATCACTTTTTCATTTCCGTCGATCAATCATCTGAACGTTGACACTTAACATGTTTAAAGAGTGAGAAGAGTTAAAATGTCCTATTTATTCTTCCAGCTTCTTTAAATTTGCTAGAAAAAAATGAATTGAATTAGCATAGACTATGGACATGAGATCAGAAATGTCATCAATGTTGACAAAATGCATCGTGGCTGCGAGACGACAAAATCAAATATGAATTCCTGTATCTTCTTCACGGTTTCGTCGTTTAATAGACTACTTAGAACAATAAAAAAAAGTGTTATGAACTGGCTGTTTCTTTATTGGCCCTGAAATATACTCTTCGCGTCTCGGGACCAATACAGCTAATCTTGAATCTATAAAAGGGCCAATACAGAAAAAGCCAGTTAATAACGCTATATTATATTTTCTTGAATTAATTAAAATAGTATATAAAAGACAAAAATATCTTGATAACTTACAGCGGAAACAAAAAATTTAATCAAAGGTGAGTCGTAGAAGTAATATGTTTTCTTCACCCAGTTCAGCAATTTCACTGACAATTGTGACAAAGTTCCACAAGTTTTGTTCTCCTGACTTTTGGTATCCGACATTACCGATGGAATAACTCCGTGTACTGTTATCTCGTCAGTATTGTCTAACCTGACTGTCTTCATTATAAGAATTGGGATAAAAGTAACAGTAATTGCCTAGGAATATCAAGCATAAAAAGAATGACTCAGTGGTGAATATCTTATCAACAACAATTTTTTTATGAAGAAACACACTGAAATTCATCGTTTTATTGTAAATGTGTACTTCTTGTACTTTATGATGGGTTGCTTTTACGTTAAATACGATAAATATGAGAGAAAATAAAGATACTAAGATTTTGTCCTTATTAAAGAGTGCCAACAATTTAGAAAAATAAGTTACATTATTATTATACTCACATGAATAATTGATATATCACCTAAAATACGACCCTTCCAAATTTGAGTTAGCTTTGTTTGACATCCAACATGTCCCATAAATTTCATCAGTGTGAACATTTCAGTTATTACAAATATTGTAGTCGAATTATATCGCGTCACTTCTGTAACTAACAGTTGGCGAGCGTGCTTTCTATCCATGCAATATAATTCTGTCATCACACTGTATGCAAGGTCTTCGTAATGTCTGAAAATTAGTCAATACCTATCTTGCATGACTATCATCAAAATTGGCATACTGTATTTGTCATGTACGTTACGATTATCAGGTTGTCTAGATATTTATATTATAAAATATCAGCTGCGAGTCACAATATGAAATGTTTTTGTCGAGTGAGCTCAGCGAACGAGTTCAGACAGGCTTCATATTGTGTCGAGCAGCTGATATTTTACAATATCAATATAATTGATTTATCCGATTGTATTTGTGTATTTCCTCGATAGAACAAGTATTTTTTCTTTATTTCACCAGTAAACCGGAAGATGACGTGTAAGGTCGGGTTAAACTTATCAACGTCGGTTCATTCATTGTGACGTCGGTATTATGTCCGGGTCAAAGTTGTTAAAGGCAAGATCAACGTATTTTACGTCACAATGCCGTGATATGCAACTTTATGAAGAGCTGAACAGAGTGATACAGACAATGGAAACACCGATAAATGTGAATATACAAAAGTTCTAATTGAATCTTACGAAGCACAGTTAATGTCTTAATTGTCCCACGAATTCAATATTTTTGACGTTATCGTTCCTTTATCATAAAAGGTGAAATGTGATCATAATTATTCACTAGTAACTGTTTTCACTACTGAAACGGTCATTTTAAACTGAACAACTCTTAAATGCCTGAATTTACCGCAAGGAAAAATGTCAAGATCTTTTTTCGGTTATTCAGTACGTGTTCAGTACCCTGATTCACGCAGTGGATTCAGTACGTACATTACTGGTTCAGGTAATTAAGAGAAAACGCCTTGCATTTGATTCAGTAGCGTCAAGAACGTTTTCGTACAAATCAGTACATCGATAAAATAGTTGTTTGGGAATTTTCAGAAGTGTTCAGTGCCAGGTAAATCTATCAATTTTGACATAAAATAGTTTGTGCAGATTTAT